TGAGATTTTTTTGCAATCTAGAAAAATGGCAGTTTACTCCTCACTTGTTGAGGCACAGAGTGTCTTACTTGGTTAATTTTCTTGTTCATTTGAATTTGTTCCCAAATTGCAACGAAAAGGACTTTTAAAAAGAGAAACTGAGTTTGCCTGTATTAGAAAAGATCAGATCCAGTAAATATAGGAATGTCACGAAATTGTCTCTGTAAAGATTCCTCAGAAACAGCGTAGCTTTGGGAAGTGTTGATGGATTAAGTAAATCACACGCATATTCAAAGAGTATGTTTTTGAAGCTAATGTTCTCTTGTTTGAGGTAAAGGTTTAGTTGTGTGAAGCAAAGGTTTTGATCTGGTGTTTTAGTGAAACACAAAAGCTGGAGGAAGGCTTCTGTAGAAGTTACTCTCTGTGCTTGCAGCCCTGCAATTGGGCACAGATTGTGTGCATTTGGGTGGTTTTAGGTTTGACGTTGTGTTGAGACAAGAAACTTTGATCAAGATTGCACAACCTGAGACTGATCAAAGGTTTTGATGGACACATGGTCTTTTGGGGTTTTATTTCATCATCTATACAAGGGTTTATTTAATGCAGTGTAGTTACTGTGGTTATTTAAGTAAGCTTTAAGTGCCTAGGGAAGGCGGGGGGTAGGGAGGAATCACCTAAAAATCTTAATGTTTAGGATTATAGGGGCAAAGTAGTTGATGCAGAAGTAGAGTGAGAGATTCTCAGGAGGAAGCAAAAGTAACTCAACTGCAGTAGGTTTAGGAAGTTACTTTGCCCAATGTCAAGACACTGGAGGACTTAGGATAATGTTTTATTATGCTTCTCAATATTAAGTGCAGCCAGCTGATGTGCTGGTGCATAGTGGAAATTGCTGCTGGAGGGAAGTCCTCGGGCTCAGGAAAGAGTCGGGGGGGTGTAGTCAGGATAATGTTTTGGCCCATTTGCTTAGATTAACAACTTGTTCTGGGACATTCTGAGCACTCAGCTTCCACAGGACTGAGGGAGCTTTGCTCAGCCCTCCTTGAAACCAGGCATGTGTGAGGTGTCAGGCCTTGCACAGGGAAGGTGTGTGCTGTGGGGCTGCATGGTGAGCCAGAGGCAGGGCAGGCAGGAGCTCAGGGTTAGGGGAGAGGAATTTGGCAGCAGCTGAGCAGGAAAGGGGGTGCACATCCAGTTAGCTCGACTGAAAGGGTGTCCCATAGCTGTGCTTTAGCTGTGCTTTTAGAACAATCCATGTTCTGGCGGTGCCTGGGACCAACACCATAGACAACAACAAACATCAATGACTAGCCACTAGTTACTTTTTTTGCACTTCAACTTAAATGTACTGTACTCACGTAAATCCTCATGACTTGTCTAAGTGTCCTTTAAAATTGGAAATGTATTTATTGTATGTTTGTATAACTTGGGGGAGAGCTAAAGACTGAACAGGTGACAGGACAGAAGGATGCTAAAAACCATCTTGAGGCTAACTAACCATTTGTTGAGTTTGTGCTGTACGGTGTTACCTCAGCTGCTACTGCATAGCACCTGGATTGTGAAGTGAAGAGCTTGTACACTGTGTTTACACTTCAGAATTGTGTATTTGAAATGCCTGCTCTTTTTGGAATTGCATAGTCATTCTATGTTGCAAAATGGACATGTACACCTGGATTTTGATATTTGTGAAACTGTAAAAACTGTGGTAAGAAATATAAAATACCCATAATGTATTTAATAGTATTAATTTGAACTTTTATTTCATTGACTCATGTTACAGTGTCAGCAGTGAACATAAATGACCTGAACTGAAACAATTCAGTAATAATGAGCATTTACTAGGGTCACTGGAGGATACTGAGCCAAGAGCCTGGGAACTACTCTTGCACAGTGTTAGAGCTGTTTCATAATAAAATCTGCCTGTAGGCACCAGTTCCCTTCCGTGGGGTGTGGGGAGTGTAATGGATGCACACCAATGTGCATAGTAAACTGGTTGAAATGGAAATGTGCAGGATATCATTGTAAACACTGTAAAACAGAACATGAATGTAACATCCCTTGTTAAGGAAGAAAGGCTTTGATAACAGTTAGGTCAGTGGATTAACTTCCAGATTCTGCTGCCAGATTTTCTGGCTGAACAGTGGACAGTACTTAACAATTGTGTTTTGGTAAGCCTGTGTCATCTCCACATACCACAGGAGCACTGTGCAGTTGAACTCACTGGCAGAGGGCTCCAGTGGCAGCAGCTGGTTTTGGTGGGTTTTGTTCATGAAATGATTCCAGTGTTGGAACAGACTTGGGAGGATTTTAAGCTGAGTATCAGCTATCTGCTAAAGTAGCCATCATCTTTCTCATGTTGCTGCACTTCCGTTTTGAATGCATTTAGTAGCTTCCTGCTCTACTTTGGGTACTATTTACTGGCAAATGATAGACCTCACAGCTACATACAATGTTGATTTGTATTTCTTTTTAATTATTTTTTTTTTTTTTACTTGCTGGAGTAGGTGTACCTGGTATTGTTCTAAACAATTTAGAAAAAAGGACAGTGTCTGAAAACTAACTGCCTGTTTTGGGGGGATTTTCTGTTTAACATACTGCTTAGGTAAAACCCTACCTTAATATGTATTATGTGGGCTATTGTGTAAAAAATACATATTATGTTCTAATGGAAAGATAATCATCACTACCTCAGTAAAGAGGACATCCAGAAAAACTGTGCGTTTAAGCTAGGACAAATAGGACTCTCCCCCTTGATCTCAAATCATGTGGATGGAAGTTTTTAGCTAACTACAAAGTACACTGAAAGAAAGCCTGCGTACTTCAAAACATGAAAAACACATTTAACATTGTTATAGCTTCAAGTATCCTTTGACTAATCTGTAATAATTTTAAGTACTCCATTTTCACAATGGTGACACAGGCAAAAGTAAAATACATCTAATTTAGCCTACTAAGATGATCGTTCAGTGGGAGTTTCCACCCTGCTCCCAAACCATCAAAGATAACAAGGATTCCTCTGTTTTTGCAACAGCTTCTTGCTAGTGCCAGAGCTTCCCAAGCCAAGCCTGACTTCCAGAGTGTGGGCAGCAACTTAGCTGTGGATTCGGTAGCAGCAGCTGCTCTTAGGGGTCTGTCTTGCTGCTAGTGGCCTTCCTGAACAGAACTATTTTTGAATGCTGTGGACATAACAGTGAGTGTATTTTGGATCACCTGCTTGACAGGGCTTCTCTCTGCTAAACATGCTATAGATCCTGCATATGTTCTTGTAAATTTATGGCACTGAAGGGTGTGAAGTGTCTGTTAACTGTAAAATGGAAGTGCTCCTTTTAAAATGAAGCAAAGTCGAAGCAATATAAAGGAGGAAGGACAGTGTAAGTAAGGCTTTTGACCACCCACTCTGAGTCCTGTTATGCAAAGCTCTTGGAATGTGATACAGCACACCTTAGCACAGTTAGAGGTAATAGATTTTTTCCTTTGTGCAGCAATGGACAGTGAGACCACAGGATAGTGCATGTACTGCTGAAGTCGTGATGCATCTCTAGGCATATCACAAAGAACAGATACCCCTTTTAAAGCAAATATATCCCAGTCTGACATGCCCTTCTGGAGAGCTGCTTTCCACCACTGGCAGTTCCTGGTGGGTTTGTAAGATATGATGGTGACAGAAGTAGTTTAGTGGTCTTTTCTGCAGTTTGGAAGACGACAAAGAAAAACAGCAAGGTGAGAACAGAAGAATATAAGGACAGTCTAAAGAACAAAAGGATATGATCTGTACAGGTGGATGAACTGAGGGTACATAATCTATTCCCTTGCCTAGGGCTATGTAATACTAAATACTAATACTAAATAAGCTAAAGGCATTTGACTGTCTAAATTTCTCTCCGTTTTGGTTTTTTTCCTCCCCACACATCTCCTGTGAGAAGTCCCACAGAGTGCTGAAGAAAGGGAGGTAGGAACCAGGTATTCTCCCTCCCTGTTTTTCCAGGAATGACTGCTTGCTTTTTATTGAATGAGCAAACTACCGAGTACTCTGAGACCAGTGGAGCTCTGTGTGGGCTATGTGTATTCCCAATTCCATGGTTCCAGCAGCAGTCTGGCCCTGCTGACAGCAGCTCCTCCAAGCAGCTGAAACAGCCTCAGCCTTTTTGGTCTGTTCTGGGCTGTTGAGGGGCCTGGAATGGCCAGCAGCACCCACCTGAGGTAAGGTGACACTGAAACTGAAGACAATAGTAAAGTATGTTTGGGGATGAAAATCCTCTGCTGAATAATCTGCAGTTCTCAGAGGTGGAGAAGCAGAGGGCTGAAGAAAGGTTTAGCAGAAGGATCTGTAGAAGAGGGAAGAAGAGTACATAAACAAAGAACAAAGTGCAGGATAACTAGAGCAGAGACCAAGGATGGGACAATACAGGCAGAGGGTGAAAAGTCAGGCAGGGTTCTGAGGAGTAAGGGGAGCTTAAAACAAGTGGAGAGGCAGAGTGAAGCTAACAGGCAGCAAGCCCAGCCAGAAGAGCAAACAAACCTCGTTCAACTGTATTAACTCTCTATGAAAAGTCTCAGAAAAAATGGTTTATCAGCACTCCAACAGCATTAAGTGTTGACACATAGGTACTTAGTAAAAGGAGAGCATTAATAATGGCTTCTCCTCCCTCTAGTGCTCAGCACAGAGGACTTCATGATACAAAGGGCCAAAACAGATTTCCTGTTTTCTAGAGGTAATATCCTTGATGTAAAACAAGGCAGCCCATGGGGCAGGCTGCCACCAGTACTTGCTCTGGAAATATACAGTGCTTGCTTCCCCAGTGAAAATACCAATGGCATGAGAATCCTCTTCACTTGAACCCCTGTGGTTTCTTTCTGTTGCTCTAATCAGTTAACATCAGTGATATGAGAAACAGTTCTTTCACAAGTCCTGTTTGTCCACCAGCAACCGTATGAAATCACCAACTGTGGGTTCTCAGCCTGTATCCTTCCTTTCTAGGACAAGTGTCTTTTCCCTCTCCTTGTTTTTGGTTATTTCCCAAAGCTCAGAGCAACTCAGCAGCATATGGGAAAGGAATGTGTGTATGTGTTTCATCTTCATCCTCCTCCTCCTCGTCATTGGCTACATCATCTTGCTCAGACTGTGCTCCTGTCTCGAAGAGCTGCTCTTCCAGGAAGGAGCTCCCAATGCCATATTCCTCATCGTGTGCCTTTGTTTCTGCAGATGAGATATGGGGAGTTCCCAGAACAAAGCTTGCAAACCTGCCAGGTTTTTAAAAGGAGAAGTGATCAGCTGAGGAATTACAAAAACCCACAAATACTGTAAATGCTGGGGGTACTGCCATTTAAGCAGGGATGCCACAAGGACATGCCCACAGGCAGTGCAGGTGAGGGGAAGCTGCAACAATGGATGGCAACAACCATGAAGATTGATTTTCCTGCCTCATCTTTTCAGTCTTTTCTATAGAAGCGACTTTTGTTCTTCTGGAGGCCATCTGCAAAGTCTTGTGACTAAGCAAGAACATCCTAACTTGGTTTTCACATCCTGTCAGTAGTCATGGGGCAATCAGAGTAAGCATTTGTACAGTTAGAGAGATGGTACTTTACCTTCTAAAAATACATTAAAGCTGTAGCATATTTGAGACAAAGGCTGGAAGGATTCAGGTAAGTAGACACTGCTAATGGAAGGAAAAATGGTGAGGACTCTACATTGTGGTGCTATCATCATGCTTCTGGTGCTGCATGTGAACTCTGGGCAAACTAAGCTAATGTCTGGCCACAGAATTCCTGCTTTTGGTGAACTGGAGCTGCAGACTGGGAATTCTGCGGACCAGACATTTGGCAGAACAAAGCATGAACTTAGCAGTGCCCCTACACTTCAATTCACCACAAATCTTACTCTCAGTGAACAACTCCATTGAAGAGAGAGACTGGAGCTGGAGGCCCTGGCAGATGTGTGGAAGCAGATGTCAGTTCTGACACCTGGGTAGGTGTTGACAGCATCAGAAAAATGTATGAAAAAGGAAGTGCAGCTGTATCATTAATTTACATTTTAGACAACATTTCTGTGAGCTGAACATTGTCACCTCACTGTTCCTCGAACCACACCTAGTCTAAATGGGGAGCAGCATTGAGCTGGCTGTGTTTTCTGGGTCTGCCTTGTGATGAACTACTGTCTGATGCTTAATGGGAGCTTGACGGGGTACTCAGCTTCTAATCTGACTTCTGTTGGTTCTCCTCCTAATTTCTGTATTTTTAATATAGTGAACAGTTTATAAGAATTATATTAACAAAATGATGTCTACAAAATACATCTTAGTTGGTCATTTTATACATTTGACAGTATTTGATTGTACAATACTGCAGTGACCTTTTGCTTTTTATCATTCCATCCTGCTGCAGAATGCAAGCAGCTTAGAAATTAACACTTTGCCAGTAAATCTGTAAAACTTGGCAGAGAGGCTGCATGCCCATCCAAGGAAGACAAAGGTTCTGTAGATGTTTTTAACTTGTTATTGATTAAATTCCAAGCTGACTGGGGTTCCTTTAAAATTGGTTCTGTGGCAGGGACTAAGTCTTTGTGGCTGGTTAACATGTGAAACTCTGCTTCTGATATCTTCCAGTTTTGGTTTGGATGGGAATACTGTTACCTGACTAATTTTCTCGATTTGTTGTCTGACCGTTCTTGACCTATATTTGTCTTCAGTTTGTCTCTTAAGCTCTTCTACCTGTTATATTTGCTAGGGGCAGGCATTGATTTACTTCTCTGCATTCTTAGTCTTAGATATTGATGCTTCAAGTAATAAGGTTCCCTGACTGTGCAGGTTTGCAGTTGGAGAGCTTAATATAAGTAATATTTGAGCGTGTATCTTCAGCTTGCCCCAATTTTACACTATGCCAAAATGCACTGCTCTAAAACCTGAAGGAGGGTCATCTCACTGGTTAGACAGCCACCAGGGTCACTGCATGTAGTAGCTTACAGAGTGGTGTAGGAAGGTGTAAAATTTATGGCCATGAATTAGCTGTGAATGCCTGCAAACTCTCAAGAGTAACTTATGGTCAGGGAGGAACAAACAGGAGGTTTAATACCACCAGCAAGTAGTAACCCTTGGGAGGTGTGACTGTGATCTTGAGTGGGATATGCACAATAAACACACCTGGAACAGCGCCTGAAGTGGCATTTATGTGTGCCATGTAACAGCATCTGTGCAATGTGTTTCCTGGTTTTCTTACCTGTGTGGGGACTGCAGTTTGGATACAGTTATCCATGATGGGAAGTCAGGGCTCCTGCAGAAGGAGCGCAGCTCCTCCAGGGCTCTCACAGTTTCAGTTTCACCTTGTTCTCGATACTCCTCTTCAGTAAGGTATTTAAACTCTACCTTTTTGAATTTAAAGTGATTCTTCATTTTTCTAGAATGAAACAAAAACAATTAGTATCTGTCCCTTTTCTCCACTACCTGCTAGTAACATGCATTAATCGCTTGTATCCTTTTAAGAGGACAAGCTACACTCTTGCATTTAAGGACAAGGTAAGTCATGTTTGCTAGCCTCTTTACCCTAGGTCTTAAGGAAAGCTGTGGAATTTCACATAATTATATTTAATGAGCTTCCAAAGAGCTTTGCATCAGGTCCTTATTGTGTATGCACGGACTAAAATCTCACAGAATTAAATAGATGGATGCTTGCTCAGCCCATTTTAGGTGCAAAATACAAACTGTATGTGTGTGCAGATGCATAGGCTGAATCAAAATCCAGTCTGCATATGTTACTTCAAATATAAGCAATGCTCTAAGCCTGTTTTGAGTTGTTCATGTTGTTTACTAGATGGTTTCTCTTAAATCTTGCTTTAAATTACAAAACTGAGTAGTCTGAGGCCAAAATGTTTACAATGTGATGTTTTTTTAGCTGCTGCATAGTGTATAATATAATTAGATATAAATTAGGAAGTGTGCCATGTTCCATTCCCTTCTGTCGACTGCTTTCAATTTCAATGTTGTGATGAGTTAAGAGATAAGCAAGGGCTGGATGTCCATAAAACTTTGAGTTCTGTATAAAAACACCTGCTTCAAACAGCAGCATTCAACTTTCCTCCTTATTTCCCTCTAAAGCAAGAAAGAACTGTAGTAGCCATTGTTCAGGTCAAATAGTAAGGGTCTTGCTGGCTCAGTGGGATGTGCTGTTCTTAACAAGAAATGATGTAAGATTCTTAGTTATTCTGATATATCTGCTGTTCTCAACTGTGGATCTGGCATCCTGGCATCACAGTTTGGTGCTGCTGTTTAGTGTTCTGAGACAGAAAAGGAAAAAAACCCTTGTCATTCTCCTGAGAGAGATTTGTAGAGCTGTGTCCGTGGTTTTTTGCTTTACAGAAGCATCAGTTCATGAAAAACAGCAAGAGAACCACATGAAGAAAAAACTACAGTGTTGCAGGGTAAAACAGGTATGTTCTGTGAACCCATGGCCAAATCAGAGTTTGCTGAACCCACTTACAGCAGGTATTGATCCTATGTGCTGATTTTTAAACAGCTGGTGCTTCTCAACTGCAAGCAAAAATTGGTCTTCAACAAATAATAAATTCTGCCTAAAGTAAAAAAACTTCAACCCAGTCCACACTTCAGCATCTAAAAAGAGCACAAGAGCAAGGCAGTATGTTCTTCAAAATTAAACAACGTGTAAAAAACTAGAACCCAAGTTATTTCATTTTTATTATTTTGGTTATGT